CGACTTAACGTTTATTTTATGTTCACAAATTACGAGTAATTTTTTCACAATTTTACAAAAACGGACCTTTCACAAAATGTCTGGACAGACCACTGGTTAAACACAATTGATAGAACTTACAATATCGTGATATTACCGTGCTAGGAAGCTTAACCAAAGCAACTGACGCTTAATCAGAAAAAAAGAGAGATAAAAAGAATGAAACAAAAAAATAAAATCAGTATGATACTTAGGGATCAGGGAACTAGTATTTTTTAATAATATTTCAGGAATTAAACTTGAATTTTTTCCTCCGATATTTAGAAATGAAGTTATAGTTGTAAACATTGAATGAACAACAAACTAATACATAATAAGTTATCAATCATGAACTTATAATATTCACTATAAGCAGGGGTCTGTCCAGACATTTTGTGAAAGGTCCGTTTTTCGTGAAATTGTGAAAAAATTACTCACATTCTTTCAACCAGGGTCCGCTTTTATGAATTTGTGCAAATAGGGTCCGTTATTGCAAAAAAAGACTTTTTCAAGGACTTTTTAAATTGTAAATAGATACAAGATTATGCTCGGCACTGTAAAATTATAATAAAAAAATTAAATTTTCAAAAATAAACAGCAATTGCTGCTTCTAAATTAGAGATGCAACATTTGATATTTAGCCTATACTGCTGAACGCAGAATATTCATTTCGGACGAATAATGGAAGAATCGTCTGCCGAAGACAAAACTTAATTCGTTTGCATCCATCTTTCTTGTTTTCTGCCCTGGGAAGGGTTTATTCGATTAACAAAACAATAATGAAGATAAACAAATTTGTGAAGGGTCCAATTAAAAGAAAAATCATTTTGTGAAGGGTCCGTTTTTAAGTTAAAATATTTTGTGAAGGGTCCGTTAACGGACCCAAATTTCTTCTAAACAGACCCCTGCTATAAGTTATCAATCATGAACTTATAATAATAACTGGTATAGGTAATAAAAAAAGTTAATTTTTTGTCTTGTTTAGAAAGAAATTGTGTAGTTCCTTTTTTTATAAAAAATATAGTTTCGAACTTCACGTCTATATTTTTGATGACACATACAAAAGAGGCAAAATTCTTTTTTTAATCTTAAAAAACGAATACAATACAGCCATTTTCCTCAACCTCAGAAAGTGTAAAAAACGCCGACATGGGATATGTGAGAAATAGCTCAAAAATGCCATTCAGGATGATGTTGATGGTAGGGCACAAAAGCGGTGGGGGTGACAAAAAATAACAAATGACAAAAGATGACTCTCAGATTTTTTTTTTCTTCCTGTCAGACGCTCTTGTCTCGTAAAGTTACAGTCATTTACTTTTTTATTTTAGAAGAGCGAAGATCTGAGCTTGAAAGTCGGAACACTTATGGCTTAGATGTGACGGTCATTAGCCTCAAGCTATATTTTAAACTCACGAAAAAAAAGGGGGGAGGGGGACTCTTTTTCGTATCTTTCGATCTAATAGACGAATTTCACTCATAAATCATATCAAAATTCATATAAAATTGCAGCTTTGTTTGCTTGTTTAGATGATTTATATAAAGCGTTATACTATAAAATATGTACAGTCGGACTCGTTTATAACGAGCTCGGATTTAACGAGAACTCGGATTTACCGAGGGAAACGAGAATATTTGGTTGGATCAATGTTAAGTCTATGGAACAGAAGTCGCTTTTAACGAGCAAGACCCGGTTTTAGTGAGCAATATTTTTCTGTCTTGCTATCTTTTTTCTCATCTTTCTAGTCTTTCTGTCATATCTTTTTTTCAAAATGATAAGAAATGCGAGCGAAATAAAAAAAAAACCGCGAACTGAAACTTCAAAGTAAGCTAATAAACTACTATTTTAAATATGTAGATTAATGAAAAAAATAAAAATTAATGTTTTGGTAAGAATCTTTTCCTTTATTTTTCTTTCCTTTAAGACTGTAGCGCAACTAGAAATTTTTTGCTGGTTGGGGAGGGGGGTTAGTTGTCATTAAATTAAGAAAAGTATTTAATTTAATTAATGTAGTTAAAGTAAGTAAGTATTCATTAAATTTTATGTAAACTCAATAATTTGACCTCCCAAGCCCTCTTCTGGTCGCACGCCTGCCTTAAGGACCCGTTTATTACGAGCACTCGGATTTAACGAGTACATGTTACGGTCCCTTTGTGCTCGTTACAAACGAGTTCGACTGTACTATAAAGATATAGTCAGTATATTGCACACAATTAGTGTCAAAATAATGCTTGATATTTCATAAATTTTATTCTAAAACAAAAAATAAAAGTTGTAAGAAAGAAAGAAAGACAGTTGCAATGGACAGATGAAGTTAAAAAAACAGCCGCATCAAATGAATATTTTCTTATAATGAGTTTTAAAAAAATTAGAAAGCAGTGCTTACGTTACATATTTTATTTCATTTCATAACCGTCGTTGAACAGCCGACCCAATTTTTTGTGTTTAAGACTACTAATGCTTAACTCCATAGCCTTGTAATTTTGAACCCAATCCCGAAGACAAGTTGACGGAGCTAATACACACTTGCGTTACATGGAGAAGAAAACCTACCATGGTTAGTCTGACGGCAAGGGAACTCTAACCCATGATTACGTTATGTATTTTATTTTATAACCGTCGATGAGCAGCCGACCCAATTTTATGGGTTTACGACTACCTATGCTCAAGTCCGTAACCTTGCAATTTTGAACCCAATCCAGAAGACAAGGGAACTCCTGGATCAAGTATTGGGAGATACTTTTTGAGCTAACCTGCATTTGCGTTACAGGGAGAGAAAGGCCACTCGAACCTCGTATGGTTAGCCTGACGGCAAGGGGACTCTAACACAGGATCCGTCTACCACTGAGGATATTTCACGTCTGCACTGTGGTCGATGCAAGTCGGATGCGGAACTCATATCGACTGGGATTCAACGCTCTATCCCCTGAGCCATCGCGGCTCGTTATATATTTTATTTTATAACCGTCGTTGAACAGCCGACCCAATTTCATGGGTTTACGACTACTTACGTTCAACTCCGTAGCCTTGTATTTTTGAACCAATCCAGAAGACAAGGAAACTCCTGGATCAGTACCCCCAGAGGTATTGATTTGTTGTGGGAACATGGAGGACTTTGAGACTCGACAGATTTAACGTGCATCAGTCACCATTTTCTACACGGGGAGTCTTCGGCCGGCGAGGATCGAACCCACGACCTCTTGGATATGGGCCCAGCGCCCTACCGACCAGGCTATCCCGGCTCGTTATATATTGAACAAATCCAAGCGTAAAACAGGAAATTTTAATCCTCCTCTGTAAAATCAAATTGCAATGCTTGCATAAGTAATTCCAAGCCAGGCTCATACTTAAAAAAAATAAATAAAAGAGTAGAAGCGTGAATCTTTTAAATAAATGAAGAAGAAAGAAAATAAAGATATTTTATCACCGCTGTAGAATCTGTTTATTTTTAAATACAAAATGTCATCATATGAAAAAATTTTGTGGGAATGAAAGATAATTATAATTTTTTAAAAACTAACTTTAATTTTAATGCCCGTTACTCATTTTACAAAAAAGTGTCTGTTGAGATATTTCAGATCACCGGCAGAAATTTGAATTATTAGGCACGTGAGCATCATTCAAGTTCGTTCAAGTACCATTCAAGTTCGGATACCAAGGTGGTTAAAATAAAAATAAAAAACACTTGATATAGAAGTATATGTTGAACAATTTAAAGCATGAACACTTAAAAAAAGAAATTCCATTTTTATTTTCCTTTAACTCTTAGGGGCATAACTTTTTAACTTATTTTTCATACTATTTTCATTATTTTACATTAATTTGGGTCAAAATAAGTGAAAAATATTATATTTAGCATTTAAATAATTTAGGGTTATGAAATACAGCATGCAACAAAGAACTCGTCTTTGCGTTTAAGGAAACGTCCTCCTACCACGCATCACTTCCAAAAAATAATTTTTCAAATTTACATGTACATTTGCATTTATTTAAATCTAAGAGGAACAATTATTCATCGTAGAAATCTCTCTAATTTACAACTCAATTATTGATTAATTTTTAAGCAAGGAAAAAAAAATTCGAACTACTTTTCTTTTTTTGGATTTTATACTTAAGTACAAATATAATTGATCTATCAGATTTTTTTAGTAACTACTGTTAAACTATTTTTTATGATTAAAAAATACTAAAAGATATTTTTACTTATATTTGAGGAGCCAGAAATAAATACATAAAAGGGACAATGGTATCCTACCTGCGTCAAAGGGTTAAGAAAGTAAAATATAATTCTTAATCATACCTTTTACTTCCTATTTTAAAATTGAATAAGCGAAATACAAATTAAAATTATGGGTTTGCTATTAATAAAATAAAAGAGGTTGGCCGATAAAATAATAAAAATAATTCAAATTTGATACTCGATTTTTAACTATTTTTCTAAAAATTAACATTTGAAGCAACAACATAACACTAGACTGATATTCATGTATTGGTATGATTTTTAATAAATTTAGATATTTATTTTTTAATTCTAAATTAGGACAAAAATTAATTATTAAAATAACTCGATGTTAAAATATGATAATACTTTTTCTATTCTAGTTTTTGACACATAATTAACACATTTGAAGCAACAACATAAATCTAGACTGATATTCATGCATTGGTATGATTTTTAATAAATTTAGATATTTATTTTTTAATTCTAAATTAGGACAAAAATTAATTATTAAAATAACTCGATGTTAAAATATGATAATACTTTTTCTATTCTAGTTTTTGACACATAATCTTAACCAGAAAATTGTAAGTCAAAAATACTAATACACAAATCAACGACTACTTTGCAATTTAATATTAAACATTCGAGTATATATATATATATATATNCAGAGCTAACCATATCTATAAGTATATATATATATATTCTTTTTAAATATATGAAATTTCTCCTTTAAATTTAAAAAGAAAAATAAATACTTACTTCTCCAAAAGCACCACGACCAATAACTTTGAGAACTTCAAAATCATCTTTAGTTAAACGTAAACATTTGATCTTCTGAGCAACAGGATTAACTGAAAATATAAAATAAACTATATAGTTTCAAAATGCAATTTAAAGAAACTTACACGCATTTTAAGAATCATAACTAAATAAATATTTTTATTCAAGAGTGCAATGTTACTCATATTATTTGTTGAGTATCGAAAATAAATATTTAGAAAATAGGTAGCAAATATAAATGAATGCGAAATATAGCTATCCAAGCAAACAAAATGAAATATTTGTCGATATTGGAGACATAAAATAAATTTATATTGAAAAAATTCAGGATGAGTTTTTTGAAAAGCATTAAATACATTTCCTATAAAAAGAGTTGGTGATCAAAATACGATTTAATGTTTTTAAATTTTGTATAATCAGTAACGTTTTTCATAGCGATACATGAAAATGTTTTTCAAACAATTTTTAGAACATTCAAAGTTGAATAAATTATTCCATTTCTAAGTTTATATTAGCAGATATGCATTTTAAGTTAGTAAAAAATCCAAGCCTAAAAACTATATTTTTGGCAATATATACTTATATTTTAAATTCATGACAAAATTTTATGAATAGACAATTCAGAAAATGGCAATATTATTTTAAAAATTTACGAAAAGGCTTTTTATTATAAAGCACTTGGTCTTGTAAATTAAGTTTTTGGTATGATGCTATTACAAGGAAGCCATTAACATTCAAATAAATAAATAAACCCTTGATTGTTTTAGACATATTTTATCGAATTTTTGTAACAGGTAGCATAAATTATATTACTAATGTTTAAGCTATGCCTTTCTCTTATACAAAAGATTTATTACAAAACAATTTTACTTGCTATTAAAATTGAAAACAAAAAATTTTTAAAAATATATTACAAGACCAAATGCTTCGGGATTCGTTATTAGGTTAGATTTTACGTAAGTAATTTAGTAAGACATAGTAAGATTTTACATACTTCAAGCTTTTTTTTTTCAATGCCTATTCATATATTGACATTCGTTATTAGGATTTTAGAAAGGTAGATGTTGACCAATCCTCTATTTACTGCCATTCAATTTTATTTTTAATTTATAACCGTCGTTGAACAGACGACCCAATTTTGAGTTTACGACGACCAATGTTCAATTCCGTAGTCTTGTAATTTAGAATCCAATCCAGAAAACAATTTAACTCCTGGATCCAGTATTGGAAGAAATTCGCTTTCGTGAAGTACTTTTTGAGGCAGCTAGTTAATCCGCATTTGCGTTACATGAGAAGTAAAATCACGGAAACCTCTCACGGTTAGCCTGACGGCAAATGGACTCTTAACTCCTCATCCGTCTACCAATGAGGGTATTTTATGCTAGCACTGTGGTCGGTTCAATCCGGGTGCGGAATTCGCATCGGCCCGCCATTGCTGGGATTCGAGCCCGGGTTCACTTTAAGAAAAGAGGCGTGGCAAGTATTTTCTTTCTATTGCTAATACTATGAATGCTAAAATAGAATACCTCAAAACAGATGACACATTTTTTGTGGAATAAGTAGCTAATCATTCAAAAATGCCAAAAATATAAAAATCTCAATTTTGAATTTCATGCTGCTTGCTGTAAGTTGATTTTTCAAATGCACGGCAGATCAGATGTGCCAATGTAGAGTAACAAAATGTAGAATAAGCAATATTGCCTCGTAGAGTAACAAGGACATACAGAGAAGTAAAGAACATACATCCTTCTGACCGAGATTCGAACCCGAGAACTTTCTGACATGTGGTCAGCAACCTCAACTACTACTTCGACTAAACCGCTACAAATAAAAAATTCGAATCATGCCTATGCTATTTATTCTATGCTATTTCTATGCTATTTATTCTATGCTATTTCTAAACCTCGTTAATCCTTATAATGCTTACGGATAATAAAATATTGAGGCACTTTGATTTCTAAAGAAATCAAAAAACAAAAACAAAAAAAGCTTTATACAAGATACTGGGTGTGTGGCGCTGAATGTAGGATATTCCCACAGCTGCCACTGCACATTTTATTCCTTGGTACGCTATTTAATGATTTGTTGTTGTTGTAGTTCATTTACGTCGCACTAGAGCTGCACAATGGGCTATTGGCGATAGTCTGGGAAACATCCCTAAGGATGATCAGAAGACATGCCATCACAATTTTGATCCTCTGCAGAGGGGATGGCACCCCGCTTCGGTAGCCCAACGACCTGCACGCGAAGTCCAGCACTTTACGGTAGCACAGTTTAAGGAGGACCAATACCGCACACCCTCGGTCCCTACGCAGACTGATCCAAGTGGGTCACCCACCCGCACATTGACCGCAGCCAGTGATGCTTGACTTCGGTGATCTGCTGGGAACAGTGTCTTAACGATCAGTCCACTGCGGGACCGCTATTTAATGATGAGAAATTAATAAAAGATCTTCATTTTCAAGCAAATCAACAACACATATAAAAAACAGCTGAATGTAGGATACTCTCACACTACCTCAACACTATACTTATACGAAAAAATTGTTTTAATTTTGATACTTTATATTACACATTATTATTACTATTTTTATTTTGCACAAATAGAAGTTAAAAACTGTTTCTTTTATTTTCTCTTATAAGCTAAATAAATTCTCAATCAGATAAACCTTTTTTTCCAATTCAGATCTTTTCTCTTCTCAACAACACCATCAAAGAAAGAATTGACAACACAGCAATCGACTAAAAGATTAAAATCCCAATTCGAAAGCTGTCTATTTCATTCTTTTTCGTATTCCAGTCATCCACAAATATACCAGTAAGGAAGAAAGATCCTTCGAAATCTTATCGACAGTTCGAACACCAGAGAGCTGATGTTTTCTTTTTATTACTCCAAGCGAAAAAGGTGTTCTTCAAAGTCCTTTCCGTAACTTTTTCTTTTTAACTAAGCTGTCACCCTCTGCCCTATTTACTGCAGTGACACCCATGTTTATCGAATTTCTTCTTCTTTTTTCTTCCCGTCTTTACTTTATTTCTTCAGTTACGGTTGGAGATAGCGAAGGTGAATTCGTTCGAAAGTGGCAGAAACATGTTTTGTTCAATATATACTTGAAGCTACTGGGATGGGAATTATGGGAAACGGTTATTATTTCCTTTATTTGGAATTGAAAGTAACATAAGACACGATGTTAATATAATTTTAATAACTAAGGAAATTTTAACTGCGTTGTAAAAAAGAAGAAAAAATTAGAAAAGAGAGTTTTTTTTTTTACAAACTATTTCGAATAGAGGCAAATACATTCAGTTAAAGTTGGAGAATTGACATTCTTCTACAGGGTGCAACAAAACTAGTAATCAACACAGTGGGACTAAAAATCCAGGTAGCCACACTAAAGAAATCGTAAATGGTACCCAATATTTTAGTAAATTTTAATGTTAAAGTAAAAGGCTGTTACATTATTTTCCATGCTGGTTCCGAAAAACTTTAAGTTATTGCAAACCTCTGGTCAAAACTGAAAGGGAAGGCAAAAGTTGTCGAAACAAAGAACTTTCAAATTATAAAGTGGGATCGGAAAGCAAAGAGCGAAACGCTAGAGGGCGCCTGTTTGTTGAAAATGCAGAATGCGATGATGAATCTTTATAATCGAAAATTATACAACAAATGCTGAAATGAGCAATCCCTAACTCCAATACTGGCTTCACGTCGGCGACAAAGTAAATCTAACAGAATTCAGATGATTCCTAGCTTTTCACTAAGGTCATAAATTGAGACGCTAATTCGACCACTAGCGATTCAAAGTGCATCTCTTAAACGACGCATTTTTAGATGTCCATAGAGAAATAATCCAGGCAGCAGAGATCGGGAGATCTGGAAAGTCAAGAAACCAGTCAACCACGGCTAATTAAACTGTTTGGAAAGGTAATGTCCAGGAAAGGTAATGTTCACCAGTCAGTGGCCTTTCGCTATTCTCACTTAATTTTCCAACTTCACTTTTAATAGTGAAAGTTGTTTGTCTTCGCACATTCTATTATCCACCCTTTACACTTACCAAAGATCAACGCGGTGAACTTATAAATTTTTAATTGGCGTCCAGTATTTCGTTAAAATTTTACCTGCTTTATTTTTTAAACCTGAAAATCTGAATATTTTCGATCAGCTTGTTCCAAAAAATTAGTTCTAGCTTCAAGAAGGTTTGAAATTTTGTATATTCCTGGTTGTAATGATTAGTTTTGTTACACTCTGATGAATTCTTGTTGATAGTGAAAAAAAAAATGTTGAATCATCAACCTCAACCACAGAGAAACCATATTTATATAATTTCCCTCCAGCAGAAATGCGGGCGTCACTAATTCAAAAAAAAGTAGAAATTGATTTTCAATGATTCAAAGGCATTTTATTTTATCTTCTTTTATTTATGTCATCAAAATGAGCACAGAAGAAATCAACTTAACATGAGTATTTACCGAATTAGAAATTTTTCAAGCAAAAAAAAAACTACTTTCCAGTTACATCAAGCATCGATTATTTTTCACCCAAAATGTGACACTCATAACTTTAAATATTTATCGTTACACCAATTTCATACTCTTCCATAACAGAATCTAATCTCACCTACGAATCACTTCAATTTATAGACGAACATTAGAAAAGAACTTATTGGAAATTTATCCAACGAACATTTCCGTTTGCTTACATCTCGAAAATTTTGGAAGGATTTAAAGCATAGAAAAGAAAGATATAAAGATAAGAAATTAGCTTACAGCTTGCATAGAGGAACACATTTAAAATAGAAATTAACTTAAAAAAAGAAAGTAAAAGTGCTTACTTGAGTTATGGGTAAAATAAAAGAAGTAGATAATGTTTGGTAAACAACGTCACATCTCTCTCTTTTCTTTTCTCCAGTATTTAAATAATTTCTTTAATTACATTAAGGAATATTGAAAGCTAATATGTTTCTTTTAAAGGGATATAGTACATATACAGTAGGTTTTTGTTCGTAAGTACAATCTGTCTTTTTCTACAATGAATTCTCAGAAAAATCGGTTTAAATTTGAACCGTAATAACCTTGC